ACACTGAGCATTCAAACTCAAAAGATGTCGTCAAAGGCTGCAAAGATCGGCGAGAAAACATACAAGTACCGACCACTAGTACAATGAAGGACCTGAATACGTCGAAACGAGATCTACAAGACACATGACTGACAATAGTGAAATAAAAATAAAATAAAAAATAAAAATAAAATTAGATTTTTTTGATAAAATTAAAATTTCATTTTTCACTATCCTGTCTGGCAATCCGCCGTGCATGACTGCGAAGCAGGATGTAGCTCAGGCACTGTCCTTCATAGTCATTCATCATCAGTAATGTTTCGTTTCTCAATAGTATCGGTGTTCTTGCAATTATGCATTTTCGTGCTATTCACATTCGTCACAGTAAGATTTTCAAAAATAATCCTTGATCATTGGATAAATTTTCATATTTGCATGTATCAGCCGTAATAAGCAAAAATAGTATCAAAACGTTTTACTCCAATTTCCCCAGTATTGCTAGCGTCAATTTCTTTTTTCCCTTTTTGCCATCAGATCCTGGTAGACCTTTAGTAGTATGTAACTACAATCAGTTCTTTGACGGCTTATTACAAAGCGCGGCACGGCGACTAGTGCCAACACCGATTAACGCCGCGCGCGTCAGTCGCCATTTCGTTTGTAATTCGGCTTCTAACCTCTGGTCTGATAGCACGAATGTTTTTTCTGGGGTCACGCTGTTTAGTTATTGTTTTTGTTAGGTTTTTCGTTACGTTCTGTTTGTGGTAATTGTTGTGTTTAATTGTTGCTATATTGTTTCGTACAAACGATATGGATCCTCAACCAAGCACGTCAAGCCAAAGCTTGTCTCTAAGAAAGAAAAAACCACGGATTGCTTTAAGCATTACCGGAAAACTTATGATACAAAACGTCTGCAAACACGTATTTGAGGAGAAAGTAGCTTGAAAAGGAGTAGCTCCCGAAAAAAAAGAATGTGTTTCGAAAACAGCTGACATTTTGGGAATTGGTGTGACTCAGTTTACAGTGTATTGTAGAATTCAAAGAAACAATTTAAGTCTCCCGAAAAACGTGGACCGAAACACAGTTTCAAAGATAAATTAGACGATTTTACGTTTGCCGCTATAAGGCGAAAAGTACAGTGCCACCAACTTATCTGTGAAGTGGCAAAAATAGAAACTACGGTCGCCATGTTGATATGTCATTCGACTGTCAGTGTCTACTACTTTCGAGTGTTCCGTGTGTTTTATTGCGATACTTCTGAATTTTAAGCGTTAAATATGCCGAAAGCTATAAAAAGTGATGTCCGGAGAATTATTCTAAAGGTGAAATCATTTTTTGAAAAAGAAGCTCGACTGCAGGCTCCTATCATTCCGTTTAATCAAATATATAAACGGATTTCGGCTGCAACTGGTTAGTGTTGTCAGTTTATACTATATAAATTACCCAAAATGATAATAGGGATGGAGACATAAGGTTTGAAATTTTTTTAACATAATAAGATCAAACGTTCTCGTAAAAGAGGGGTGTAGCAACCTACAGGCCGATTTGTTGTTTTAGACCTGTTTTATGAAGAGTAAAATTTCCTCAAATTCCGTCAAATCCAAAAGTAGGATATCAATAATATATATAAATCAGTTGTTACTATTTTAAAATATTCACTCTGTTATCATTTCAATTATTGCTAACGACGCTATATCCACACCCGCCACTCAGCTCTTACAAATATATGAATACAATGAATTTATTTCTACCACACATGTTTAATCACAAAGCATTTATTTCAGGTGTAAGTCAAGGGCTAATTTCAAAAATTGTTAAAGAGGGCTAAGCGGCAGAAGAAGCTGATACCAAAATTCGCACACCAGGCAAGCAGAGAATACGAAAAATTGGATTTGTTCATATAGATGATTTTGACATGGGAGTTATCAGACGAAAAGTCCATGAATTTTATTCTGCCAAAAAGGAGATTCCTACCATAAAAAAACTTCTAGAAATATTAAAGACAGAAATAAATTACACAGGACAGCGAGAAACTCTTCGAAAGCTACTTTACAAGTTAGGATTCCGTTTTAAAAAAACTAAGTCCAATCGTAAAGTTCTGATGGAGCGTAATGAAGTATCGACTTGGAGAGCAAGGTACTTGCGTGAAGTGGATAAAAATAATAAATCACCCAAACCCGGCCTCTGATTTATTTAGATGAAACTTATATTCACTCTTCACATACATCTGGCAAATGTTGGCAAGGAGAGGGCGTAGAAGGAGTATTAGAGCCTGAATCAAAAGGTCAAAGATATAATATTGTTCATGCGGGAGGGGATGCAGTATTTGTTAAAAATGCACTCACAGTATTTAAATCAAATACAAAAAGCGGTGACTATCACGATGATATGAATAGTACCAATTTCAAAAAATAGGTGATTGAAAAACTTGTACCTAATTTAATAGAGCCATCAATTATTGTAATGGATAATGCTCCTTATCACCGTGTTTGCTTAAAAACCGTCTTAGCCCATAAAAAAAAAAAAAAATAGATGACCGTCATCTGACATAGATTCGGATTGTCGTCTGTCGTCTGAGGTGACGAATCGTGGATTTATTCGTACGAACCTGAAAAGAAAGATCAGTCAGCAGTTTGGGTCTTCAAAGACGAGGTCAAACCAACGAAAGTGGTTCGCTCCCGCAGCGGGTCAAAGAAAATGGTCGCTACGTTTGTCTTGAAAAAGGAGCATGTTGCTACAATTCCTTTACAGGAACGCAGAACGGTTACCGCTGAGTGATATAACACGGTTTGTTTGCCAGAAATGATAGCCGAACTCCAAAACTAACCCGAAATGTCGAATCGTATTACATCACGATAATGCGAGCTCCCATATAGCTCGGAAGACAAATATTTTTTAAAGGAGGAAACTTTGAGCTAATGAGCCATCCTTCGTACAGTCCTGATCTAAGCCCAAACTTTACATTCCCTGGAATGAAAGATTTATTACGTGGTCAACGGTTTGAAGAAAGGTCCGAAGCAGCTGTGGAAGCGTAGAAATCAGCCACTTTGTCAACATCAACTTCAGACTGGAATTCCGAATTTAATGATTGGTTTGCCGAATGGAAAAGTGCATTAAGTTGAACGGAGAATACTTCGAAATACAATAAAATTACAATTTAGCTATACCGTGCATGTGGTTTGTCTTATTCCCGATCATTTCAGTGTGCCAGTAGGTTTTTTTTTTTTACATAAGCATTTTATTTGATGAAGATTTAATTATGATGCCAATGAAGATTGTGCATCATGTTGAATAAGGAGGTGATAAAGAAAATAGTGGGATGCAAGGGTTTAGAGACAGAACGAAAACCAGTAGGCTAGAAACGTGGTTAGAAATTTTCGTAATAACACCAACTCAAAATATCATTTTCACGAGACATTGGGTAAACGGACCATTTAAATATAAAAAAAAATGTTGCGTTTTTTAAAATTTGACTGCAAATAAATGAACGCGACAACACCTACAAAAAACCAGTTTCTGTCTGCTCACCTCATGGAACGCAGCCGAAACGTGTGGTATAAAAAATTGTTTCGGCCTTTATAGAACGCATTTAATTCCTTTTGACACTGAAGATGCCGGTGCAAAGCAACAGGATCAGTGCAGATAGATTGAAGAAGTAAGGATAATACTAATTTCTTTAAATCTGTTTCATCCTAATTATTAAGTACGGAATTTGCAAAAGAGAGATGAATGCAGAAGTATTTGAGGAGTGGTTTGGACAGGTAGTAATACCTAAATTGAAACCAAATTCTGTACTGGAATATTCTACTGTCATGGACATTACACCATATCAATCCGGGAACATGAGTAAGGGAAAAGGTAACCTCGTAACCTCTTGCATGTGCCATTAATGCTTCAGAACATTCCAGCCGCTTTGTGTTTCCAAGGTTCAGATACACTGGTATTTGTGTAAGATGTGGACCACCATATTGTATTGGAGCTGGAAATTCTTCAGGGTGAATGACGGAAAAATAATTTATTTTATTTCTGGATCATTCCATCAAGTTTGTCAAACCACCAGAGCAAGAACCTGTCCTCCTATTATTCGACAATCATCATTCACAAGTAAACATCTCAGTGGTGAAAAAAGCAATAGAAAGTCACGTTACCATGCTATCGTTTCCCCCCCACTTCACATAATCTGCAGGATGTTGCGAGTTTAAGGTCCGTTCAAAAGTTACTTAAGCCAAACACAGACAGCGTGGATGCATAACAACCCAGGGAAAACAATGACCATATATGCCATTCCTGGAATCGTTCAAGATTCTTTACCATTAGCAATGAATCCTTCTAATATAATGAATGAATTTAAAGCCACTGGCAGATATTTTTGAAGATCCACATTTTGTCCCAACTCATCCAAATCCTCAAATCAAAATCAAAGTCAAATCCTGCAAGCAAAGAATCTGAAACAGACATGAACATTACTGCCTCTAGCTTGACATCAACAAATCTTCCTAATATAGATTCATTCGATAATTGTTCTTTAGATATAAGTGTCAGTGAAATCATATATATTCCATGGAAAATTCCATCATTATAGTTCCATGGAAAATTGTAACCCAGCAACTTCAAATTCAACAACATTTGAGTATACTTTATTTACAACAGCTTTACCTGGAGGTCAACCTGACTTTGAGCCGACTCCTGGACCTTCCGGTATTCAAAAGCAAAATGATTTAGAAGAACAATTTACAAAAAGAACACGAAGAAGAGTCAAATAAGACAAAGACAGCACGAGAGACTAAGAAAGGCACAGGAAAGGACAAAAGAGCAATGACAAAAGATTAAGAGGAAAAAGATAAAGATGTTAGTTAAAAGGCAAGGGATAGAAAAAATAAGAATTCTAAATTCTGATTCGGAATCTGAACTTGAAGAACTGTTTTGTTTAGCTTGTGAGGAAACTTATGAAAATTCAAACGAGGTGAAATTGTAATCGGTTTACATCTCTAACCGCAGCATAAGTGACAGGGACGTTAATTCTATCTCGAGACTACTTCATAATCCTCGTTGCTATAGCTGGCGGGCAAAATTCTTTCGACGACGTTATGTGTGCCATCTCCTATTCCACTCCAACCTTTTTTCTTCCATCTTTCCGAGGCCACATGGGCCCAGTAGCCGATGTGCTCCTCGCGCGACCAAGTTTCGTTCATAGGGTTCATCTCTGAGAGCTATAGACAAATAGCCAGGGTAGCGTGGAACATCCCGTAAGTAAGGGGAGGAGTCCAAAACATTCCGAACTATATACAATAAACGTGTAGATTTTATAATTTATTAAGTAATAAATATTTCCATGTATTAATTTTCTATGCTATAAATAGATACCTATTCAGGACCATCACACATTTTAACATTTTAAAGAGGGCTATTTCATAATGTATTTATGCTACTTTTAGCTTTTAATATGACAGTAGTGAAATATGCCCATTGGATTCATCAAAAGAATTTTCATTATTGTCTAACAGTTATTCAGTTGCATTCATCTTATACAAAAAAAAAAACTACATAATGTGATGCACATGGAGTAATCACACAATCTTAAGAGTATGATAAGATTATAGAAATACTTCTCTGTACCTATGTTTAGATAAATCACCTTAATCTACTTAATACTGATATTGGTTAAAATTATGGCCTCATGTGTACATCAAACTTAAACTTTTTTCTTGTAAACAGCCTTTAAATGTTCACTTAGAGGAGTGTTATCAGTCTCCATATACAAAATTATCTCTAGTGTGTCAGGAGATAGCAATCGGATTTCTCTCTTAAAACTTTTCACATAAGGGGGCTTCGCAAATGATGTCCGGGAAATGTTGACTGTGGCCAGTTTTATTTCCTTCTTCTCAGGATCGAAATGGCCCTCTTCTACCGATGAGAGACCAAAGTTGTGACTAACTATAAATGCCAGTTCATTTGTGCCAGGGTTTATACGTAGGAAACCTCTCTCTTGATGCATTGGAGTCCCTTTTTCTGGGTGATGCGACATTGACAAAAAGTTGAATATTGGCTGACCTGAAAATCATAGTTCTTTTTTGTATTTTAATTGGATTCTCATAATTGTCTTTTATCATATTAGTAAATACATGATTAAAACATTCATAATCAGGCTTAAAACAAGTTTTTAAATCAATAAATAATTCTGAAATGCAAGGGTTATAGTCACCAATCCTTGCATTCAGAATTATTCAGTCACACCCCATAAAATAGAAGTAGAAGTATAGAAGGCCATCTCTACAATAGTGACATACTGTGACCCAATTGTACTGCAATAGAGGGAAATTTAAGACACTTTTTTAAAAAAAAAACAATATACAAAACACAGCCTATTGCATGCCACTACTTCATAATGTAACCCACAGTCTCATATTGTAGGTTAGCATTTAACTGATAATACCTATCAAAAGTTGTTGACCTTTGTATGAAGTAATAGTATCATATCATTATAAGAAAACCTAACTTACATTAACCCATAAAATGGGTAGTGATAATAACATTTTTAATTCAACATTTATTTTTTAATTCATGTGCAATTCCACAATTTTTTTCCATTTTTTAGGTTTTTAAAATATTTAGGCTCCAGTGAAACTGAAGTCCCTATTTTGTGATTTAAAGTAAATATTGTCTGACAAACATATTTTGTATAATTGAATAAGCTTCTTTTATCCTAATTAGTTGTTCATAGATCTTTTAAATAGCTTTTTGCTTAATATCTGTTACTATTACTATATTATTTTCAGTGCCAGATAAGCAAGCGCGGGGCCCATAGAAAATTCTTTCAAACTGCCCATGATCTGCTATCGGTTCTTAAATATAAAGTGGTAAAAAAACAATTCAATACTCTTATTTAAAAGTTAAAGCTCAGGCGGAGATAAGTGGGTTTACATATGCAGGGGACCACTTTGGCAGAAATTTTAATACTCGACATTTTTGTAAATGTTTTCCAATCTTTTTTCATGATTTATATTTACTATCAAGGTTCTTTTTTTGTTCTAAAATCTTTACTTTGGAAAAAAATCCTTAAATCTAAATATACAACTACCTAATGACATAAGAGAATCACTATAATCATCATCATCATCATCATCATATCAGCCGTAGGACGTCCACTGCTGAACATAGGCCTCCCCCATTGACTTCCACTTTCACTATAATCGTTATGACATATTAGACCCCACTAAAAGTACTTTAAAATATTATAATATGGCAAACTTACCAACACAAATGAATTCCAGATTTTCTTGATACTCAAACTCTTTTAGATTAGGAAATACCCCACGACCGTGTTCAGTAACCCAGTGACCAGAGAGCCAGGATATCGGCTTTAAAGCTTCGTGTACATCAAGTTCAATTTCCATTTCTAAATCTTTATTAATTTAATTAAACGAGACGAATAATATAATATTGAAATTAAATAAGCTTAACTACTCCGTCCACGTTCTTTTAAGCTTTTAAAATGTATGGTTATGGTTTTTAATTATGTTAGGTACTATATTGTGTCTCTATGCTTTTAAGACTTTAAATATAGATAATTTATATCTCGTGTCAAATAAGGTCTCTGGTCTAGTAAGCATGGGCAAAAAATATCGATATACAAAAATACAGATATTTTTCCAAATAAATATCGTCGATATTTTTATCCTCGATATATTGATATTCGATATTTATTTTCGACTATCGAATTCGTGTCAATTTCGATATATTTTTTTACGCAACACTAATTTGGTGTATTATGTTACTAGATGCGTGCACGATAACACTTTTTTTACTTAATTACGCACTTAATTGTAGCCTGGTGACAAGATCTTTAAGCCATGAAAATACTATACATAAATACATGAAAAACAATTTTCGAATCATTGTTTTTACCAAATCAAAAAAGTTATAAAGAAAAAAAATTGCACATGTAGAAATGTAACAACTCTAAGTACAATTTTTATATATTTTTTATAATATATCGTTGCAAAAAGTTTAAAATATTATTAGACGTCGGCTAACTTCGGTATCATTAGAAGTTGATCAACCTTGATCGCACTCGCATCGAATTGAGTGCGATCAAGGTTGGATTTAGGTGGGGTAAAAAATATAGTACAAAAAATTTAAAAGGAGAGTATTTGCAAAAAAATTATAGTACACTATTATTTTCATAATTAATGCACAAAAAATAAATAATTTTACTCAAAAACTATATTGAATTTCGAATACGAATGGATCGACCGTACCATAAAAATAATAAATTAATTGTACTATTAGACAATTCTCAACTCTATTAATTACTTCATTGATCAGTGACTGCAATGTGCAAAGTGACTGAAAAAGAGGAGTATCATTAAAATATGTAGAAAAAGTGCGAAAAGATTGTCGCCGCTGTGGGAATCGAACCCACGTCTTCGGCATTCGCGGCCTGACGCTCTAGCCTACAATGTAGAAGAATGCCTCAAACAATGTAGAAGAATGCGTTAAGATTTTCGTCGGTGTGGTAATCAGCCGTTTAGCTAGAGCGTCAGGCTGCGAATGCCGAAGACGTGGGTTCGATTCCCACAGCGGTGACAATCTTTTCGCACTTTTTTACATATTTTAATGTTCAATCTTAAGTGCAAAGATTAGCATTATAAACAATTTAAATTTCTAAAAAAGCAATGGCGACATCTCTCGTTCGAATTATCGTTGTAAAACGATATTCGAAGTTGTTTGTATGCTGGAAAGGATATAACAATAGATGGCGCCAAGCATTGCTTCAAATGCTAAGAAAACAATGTAGAAGAATGCGTTAAGATTTTCGTCGGTGTGGTAATCAGCCGTTTAGCTCAGTGGCTAGAGCGTCAGGCCGCGAATGCCGAAGACGTGGGTTCGATTCCCACAGCGGCGACAATCTTTCCGCACTTTTTCTACATATTTTAATGTTCAATCTTAAGTGCAAAGATTAGGACTATAAACAATTTAAATTTCTAAAAGAGGAGTATCGAAAAAAAAGTACCATTCACGTTAAGTCCCCGTTAATTGTTCATCGACGACAACTATTAATAATCTATGGTAGGTAATAATAGAAAATGATCTATACAAGTGGTATAATAGCTTTACATTGTTCGATAGAATTACAACGTGATTACAATGCAGCCCAAAGAACTTCTTTTAATGTTGGATTGGCAGTGAATGATATAGCATTGGTCATTTAGGAAAAGTTTGTAATAATAGTACGCCGAGGTTCAGGCTAGGCGCCTCGTGCGCCAGGCCACCTCAAGCCCGTCGGAACTGTAAAGGCCCCTAAGGCCAACAGTGGCTCATCCAGCCCAAAAAAAAAAAAAAAAAGGAAAAGTAATGAAATTGTAGTACGTTTTCGTACTATACTTTGATATGGCTAGTATATGGTACGAAGTATGAAATTGTAATTATAAAAATTCTATAATTATAGTGCAAAATATTACCCTGAATGTGATGCAATACCTAACCTAACGAAAGAAATATATTATACAGATAGAACTCGGATTGAGTCGGACCCGCTCGGCCAGGATCGGAAACGGAATTGCGCGAATGAAACACCGCGTTGAAAGTTTATTTTGATTGACATTTTGTTGTTTAATTTTATTAGTTGATCGTTGGCGACCCGTGCGTGTTCTGACTTTTTTGATTTATTAGTGATCTGTTGTGGTTTTTTTTTGTAATGGCGCCAAATAAAGGAAGTGTGACATGGGAATTGTTTGCTTTAAAACCGAAACTGTTTTTGTTTGTAGTCGATTAACAATCGACAAACAAAGAAAGTTTCGAGTTGCGAATCGAATCGAGTAGCCATATCACATCACAATTCAACATCTTTATTATTTCCTATCGATCAGCCTCGAGTCGAGCTGACTCGAGCTCCTCGAGTCGGCCAAGTTCCCTCTCTCTCTCCATATAGGAAAAATCGAGTCGAGTCAACTCGAGTCAGTAGCCATAATAACTCGAGTAACTGGAGTCAAAAACAATCCCACTCGTCACATCACAGCGAGGAGTGTTACTTATTCAAAAAATAATTATTATACCTGGATAGAGATAGAGCATTTTAGAAAAAAATCGCTTCTCGGCCTTTTGGCTACAATCAAAGTGTAGCATTTTAAAAAAGAAGTGAAAAATGCAATGAAATTTAATATTATACTTATTTAATATTAAAATAATAATAAATATCCCCAATATCTATATGTTTATTTTTATTCATAATATTTATTTTATATATGAAATATGTATCTATATGTTTATTTTTATCTACAGCGTGTCGTTACCATCGCGACAATAAATGAACACACGTCTAACGCTACTTGCCAAAAATCATAAAATATATTAACGTTAGGTTTACAAAATCCATAATTAAAAAAAATAAATTTTTCAAACAAACTAATTAAGTAAAAAAGAAACAAAATTTGTAACACCTATACAACTCGCTCCACAGCGTCGCATTACAAGCCTCTCCTTCTAACAGTATGTTTTGTCTCTTTTAAATTCATTCAACCCATTCATATGCTTTGTGACCTTTACAAATGAACTTTAGGTTAAAGTTTTATACGTAAGGGTGTTCTGAAACTGTTTGTTTAGGAAAATTTAATAACTCTGTAAATATTTATGTTTAAAGAATGTAAATGTTTAATAAAATTTTAAAAAGTTATCCTCTATATGTGTGTTAATTTATTGTCGCGGTAGTAACGACACGCTGTATAAACCCAACCAGACGAGAAAACAAAGAAATATCCCCAATCTTAATGTATAAATATAAAGGTAAGTGAATATTTGCCTCATAATAATAATAAATTTCATTATTGTCTTAAAAAGATGTTTACAAAAATATAAGCACATAAGTGGTAAATACCATAATACTGAATATTAATTTCATCTGGATTGAGTCCACTGCTGAACATAACCCTCATGCTGCCACGAAACACAAACCTGAGCCACCTGCGTCTATCGACTTCCCGCACATTTGCACTGGTCGCCACTCCATTTAGTGGTTGGTCGCCCTAAACTGTGATGGCCAGTACTAATTTAAGTACCTACCTAAGTTTTATTGAGCACATCGCCTCCCACTATTCATTAATCATTAGTTTAATTTTCCTTGTCCAAAGGTTGCCTGGAAGAGCACGCTTTTTAGCGATAAGACCACCTTATTTTTTTTTTATTAATCCATTAAATCGATCTTGGACACAACTTAAGGCGACTTTCAATAAATTATTTACTTATTGAAACCACATCATAGAAAAAAAAATGGTTTTATAACTGATAACCGATTGAGTGCATTCCTAAAAATAATTTAATAACAAGCAAGTACATAAAGGAATTTGTAGAGTGGAATTATCATAATTGAAATAAGAAGAGTTAATCATAATTAACTACAATCTCATACGTAATCTTTAAGGGCGAAGCAAGAACACGTTAAAAGGAAATAGACAGATTTTAGAATTTCACACCTTGTTCAAAAAAAGTATGTTTTGTACAAATAAGTATGTTTTAAATCCTTATGCAACTATAAAGTTAAATTTCTTCAGCGTACCAACATAGTACACACGCGATAACACGTGCCAATATTGTTCATCCGTTAAGCACTTTTGGAAATATTTGTTAAATAATAGAACAAAACCTTTCTACCTACACTTGTTCCTCTTCACATTTGTGGATTAGTACGTGCAAAGATGGCGGATACAATGGCCGACTGTGTCGAAGTAGTAGCAATATACTTATTATGTTCTTTTATTAAAATTTGTAGAAAAAAGTACGAAAAACTTTTCGCCGCCGTGGGAATCGAACCCCGAACGTCTTCGGAATTCGCGCCCTAATGCTTTAGCCACTAAGTTAAACGGCTGGTTGCCACTCCGACGAAAATTTCAAAATCTTTTATCTACATTGTTTGTTAGCATTTGAGGCAATGCTTTACGCATCCATTGTTATATTCCACCACATACGCGTAAGCATCTCTAGTTCGACTGTATAACACAGGCAAATCCTTTCCAGCGTACAAACAATTTCGAATATCGTTTTAGAAGCATAATTCGATCGAGATTCTTTTAATTATGTAATATGATTAATTATATATTTTCCAACGTCCCAAGACCTACCAGGATCCTGGATCCTACCAGGGTGCCTATAAATCTAAATCATAATCTCGAAATTTGATGTATACCAATTTTAAAGAATATCTCCTAACATTCCTTGGAAGTAATCACTGAATCGTATCGTGATCGTTTCAGCCCACCGTGCGTCGCGGCGATATCCGATCTCACGATACACATCCTGTACCTGTTTGAGACTGTTCCGATCATGGTAGCGAATCATTACCGGAGAGAAAAATTTAGCCACCCGTTCTTTCTGACTGACGCAAGACGCACCAGGTTGCGCCATCTCCATAGAGGTTGAAAAGTGCATGCAGGAGCTAAGAAGGATGTGATTTGCCTTCGATTCTAGTTGCGATATTTATTGCACTCCTCCACAGCGGCACCTTCCATTCTATTTAACGGGTGCTTCAGCAGGTACAGAATTCACAAATATTTACCTCCGTTCACTGTAATGTACGTTGAAAAACCGACACGCTGTGGCAATTATGAAATATTAATATAAAATATATATGTAATACTGACTACTGATACTAAAAAATTTACTGTCATCTTCTTTCCCTAACGCGCCAAAAGAAGAACCTACGTATAATCAAAGAGTAGAGTAATGTGCAGAGATTTTTAGAAAAATTTCTATCTGTTTCTAATGCACTAGCATGCGAACAAAGGTTACATAGTCACAAAGAGGTTTTCATGAGAAGTTTAAACACTACATTACGGGCAGATGTGCGCCTAAAGTACGATTAAGTTTTAATCTGGAATTAAGAATCCATGTATGCACACGCGCAACGCTAAAATCTCGACCGGGTCGTTATTCCATTAGTACCAATACCGGATTGGGAGGCCACCAAGCTCTTGGGTCGCCTTGTCTGACGCTCCATCGAGTAAATAATCTAATCTTCGAAATATTTTTTGTTTTGTTATTATTTCGAAGAATATGCAGGTTTCCTCACGATGTTTTCCTTCACCTCTAAGCACGTGAGGAATCAGCACTTTAAATTAACAATTTCGTTGGTGCCGACACCGATCGAGCTCAGGGTGTTCGAATTATAATGAATTAAAGGCGAGCGACCAAACACTATCACGGCTGTACAACTAAACTCTAAAATATTTATCTTCGAGTTTTTTTTTAATGTGAGGAAGTGGCAAACCAGCTGGTGGTTCACCCGATTTTAAATGATAACCGCCTGCTCATGGACATTTGCAATACGTTGTTAAAGATGCGTTGCCACCTCTTAATAATGTGGGCCCCGGCTACCGCACTCACCAGACGAAACGCAGAATTATAACACTTCTACTTTACGCCGGTCTACTGTGAGGTCGTGGTACTAACCCGGACGAACCTGCCATTCATGCAACAGTGAACACTGTTGCGTGGAAATACCACCGTAAGTATATCTTCAAGTATTCGGTAATTATTTTGCAAAGCGACCGAATATTACTTTCGCCAATAGGTAACTAAACTGATACAGCGAAGGCGGTTGCCTACCGCCGCCAGCCTTTAAAGTGAAAGTGAGTCTTGGTAGCGGGTTGTCTCCATCGTGAGAAAAAACCCGAAAGTGTTACAATACTCTACGATATATATTTCACATCGAGGTTTAGAAAGAGACTATCGACTAATTTCGGTTTCGTAGAGCGTTATCTAAGCCCTACACGTTATTTCTGTTTTTGCTTAGACCACAAAATACAACGACAAAGTTGCACTGCATAGCTTCCATGTATTTAAGTTATCAGCAAATGTAATAAGTTCCGCAAGTGATTATGGACATCAACACCTGAGTGGTTGTAGATTTGTAAATGCTACCCCATAAAAAGGAAGCTTCAGTTTCTTAACATTTATAAAAAGATCGCCATTACTTTGGGATAATATTATCCTGTATTGTAATTACGTTTTACAAACATAAACTTCACGCAGACAAACACCGAGATGCGAAACAACTATCTGTGGGTCACACAAATAGTTGTCCCGTGTGGCAATCGAACCCACGACCCCTGACGCCGAAGCTAATATCTTTGCAACTGCGCCACGGAGTCATCAAATCAGTTTCTTCAATCATCCGACAAATAAAAGTGTACAACAAACACTGCATGTCAAGCACATTTAGAATGTATAATAGAAGAGCCTGCTGATGGTAGACCAGCGAATACCTGCTGGTCTACCATGCGTCTGACGGAGTCACCGACAATTTATTATTTTTTTTTATGTGAAAAGTTGCCAAACAAGCAGGCGGTTCACCTGATGTTAAGTGAATACCGCCGCCCATGGACATCTGCTACATCCGAGGGTTTGCAGATGCGTTGACAACCTTTTTGGAAATTGGGCTCCGGCTACCTCACTGACCAGACAAAACGCGAAAGTATTAGTCACACTTCTACTTTACGCCAGTCTTCTGTGAGTTCGTGGTACTTACCCGGATGAGCCTGCCCATTCGTGCAACAGCCGAGGCTGCTGCATGGCTCTACCACAGCTGTGTCTTAAAGCAGGCAATTAATACATTCTACAAGCCCCTAATGAAGACTAGTAGTTTTTACAATCTGTCAAGCGCAATATGCCTCTGCAAGATCTAGGTATGTACAATGTTGAATGTGAATGTAGGCTCTCTTACATAGGACAAACTAAAAGAGGAATATAAATCCGAGGGAAGGAACATGTCATCATCATCATCATTTCAGGCTGTTTGAGTCCTCTGCTGAACATAGGCCTCCCCCATAGACTGCCATGAAGTATGATCCTGAGCCACCTGCATCCATCGACTTCTCGCACATTTGCTCAGGTCGTCACTCCATCTAGTAGGGGGTCAGATCTAGGTATGTACAATGTTGAATGTGAATGTAGGCTCTCTTACATAGGACAAACTAAAAGAGGAATATAAATCCGAGGGAAGGAACATGTCATCATCATCATCATTTCAGCCTGTTTGAGTCCTCTGCTGAACATAGGCCTCCCCCATAGACTGCCATGAAGTACGATCCTGAGCCACCTGCATCCATCGACTTCCCGCACATTTGCTCAGGTCGTCACTCCATCTAGTAGGGGGTCATCTAGGAACAGGTATCCGACTTAAACCATAATAGATTCTGTGATGCTTCCCCACAATCTGCCCATTCAACAGCAGAAGCTGCTGCGAAGCTCTCCCACCCTGCATGATGTTTTTAGTTTTGGATTTAGCAAATTAGCATTTAGCATGGTTTTCTTTTATAGCGTGTTTAGAATTAGAATTTAAATAAATATATCCAATGAACAGAAACATTTTAATTGATGCTAAAAGTTCTCTATTGTTTGTGAAAGAGGTATTTATCAACAAAATAAATATGTTTATAACATAAATTGGCTCTTTGGCAGATTAACTGGACATTTCACATCTATTTATAAGTTACATTTAGTGTACTCTTTAAATGTAATGCACTAACCAGTATGTGGTAAAATAATATAAATAATAAAATGTTTTGGAATTGTCTCACATGTACTATTGTTTTAAAAGTGGGTATCCAGTCACAGATCTGTGTTATATTTTTATTAATTTCTATTAAACGTTTGTCTTAGGTCAACTAATTACTATTCATTTAGCATGTGACATCTAATGTGATGGCCAATCTACAATTTTGCTTGGCATGCTTTTCACAAAATTCAAAGTGACATTAATGTTGAAAAAAAAAGAAAATGAGAAAACTTTTTCATAAAATCTTTTCCTTTAATTATTTGAACTTATTGTTAATTGTATTATCACAAATAAAAAAAATAAAAAACATGAACATTACAATATTGTTATCAATTAAAAACATATCAACAAAGTGCAAAATTATATATTGCCTAGTATACTGCTATTACTTAGCAAGATGTGTAATAAAAATATTGTTTAGATAACAAATAAACGGACTCAATTAAAAATGTCTAAGCCCCACAAAATTCTTTAGTACCCTCATGCATTACATGTCATTAATTTATTCTAAAAAGTGAAAATTACCTCACACATTAAATGTGATCATTAGATTATCCACAACCAGTCTTATAATTCCCTCTCAAACAAAGTAATGAGGCTTCTTTGCTGTTATGCCATATTCCTGTAGCGCAGGTACCAGGTCTTCCATAGTCATAACATACTTCTTTTCCTTGGGCCCCTTCTGGTTCTTAGAACTCTGGGCTATTTGACTGGAGGTCCGCATCTTGCAGTGCTGAAGTGCGTCATTTGCGATGTCGGAGAGGAATTTTTGTGAAGCTAATGCAATGAGTCGTATTAACCTGGAATTTCAAACAAACACCCTCTTTATATTCATTTCTTTTATGTGATAAAGTGGCAAACAAGCTGGCGGTTCACTTGATGTTAAGTGAAAACCGCCACTCATAGACATTTGCAAGTAGCAACACCCATAGATTTGCATATGTGCTGCCACCTTTTAATAAAGTGGCTACGTCACTCATCAGACATAACAAAGAAGTGTAACACATCTACTTTGGCGCAGTCTTCTGAGAGGTTGTGGCACTAACCCGGAAAGCCATGTCCATTGGTCAGTGGACGTGGCCCTACCACAGTTGAATTTTTTTTGGCTAATTAATTAATATCTATAAACATAACAAAAGTTGGTTTGTTTTTCAATATTTGGGGTATAAGATCACTAAATGAATATTTAAAATTATAATTCACCTAGAATAATCATTGCATATGCAGTGTAAACTCTTTATAATGATTTTAAAGGACCGAGCATTATAAGTATTTGTTATACGAAGGGAAGAGAACAAATAGGCCAAAATTACTATAATTTCTAATTGCATTACTATCAATAGATAAATTAATCTAAAAACATATACTGTTAACTTTGCCTGACATGTTTTGCTATGCCAATATTTTTTTTTTGTTTTGTATTTTGTCAATGTCTTGGGATGCGGTGGAATCATTATGGCTGAATGAATGAATAATTAAATATTTCTTTGTAAAAGAGAATGGCTGTTGCATTATAAAATGTAAATTAAACTATGGGATTTGTGGTAAACCAACCAAAGTGTACTAATTTATACATTATAGTGTTTCATTATAAAGAACAATGTTATGAAAGAGTTTACACTGTATTATAAATAAAACTGTTTTAATTTTTCAAAATTACAGAAATTTTAATAACTGAATTAATAGAAGTAGCATTAAAAACTTCTATTACAATTAATTACAAAATCTTATATGATAAATGTATTAAAATATTAGGATTCTGTTCTGATATCATAATTTGTGAAAAATACTTTATATGAACTAAACATTAATGTTGTATAATGAAAGATTTTTGGCACCAATTAAAAAAATGATTTTGGCTTTGTCAGGAAACAACGTTAAACAACCACCTTCTTCGAATCCTATTAAAACATGGGCCAATTTTAGAAACCTACATAACATAAACTTCGGTCTCTTTCACTTCCCCCAAATTACGGCGTTTGTTCATAAGTTCCACAAGTCCTTATTTTATGTTTCCCAAAAATTTATATTTTTAAATAGGTCACTATAATTCTAAAGGGGCAATTTAATCTTTTGAAACTAGAAGGAAACAAAGTCTTTTTGTACATTAAAACTAACAACTGATTGCAAATGAAAAGCTAAGTAGCTTTTCATTTGCATTCAATACTTTATATCTTTAAACACGCGACTTTAGATTGCGAACATGTTTTAGTTTGACGCTCGTAGGTCAACACTGCTACTTATTTTGAGTATATTAGTATGGTCATGGCTTACCTTGGATCTTGTGACTCAAAACCAGACGTGTTCAGATAATAAGCGACAACAGAATCAGGTATAGAGGGATTGTAGTTTTCCAACTGCAGCAGAAAATCGCTCAAGGCATGACCAGCCCCATTGTCTTCCTCCATACTGTCTAACGAAGATACCATACCACTTATCTAAAAGTAGTTTAGCTTAAAAATACCTGTAACAAATTACATCAAAAAATATTGAGAATTCTTACCAACACTAGGCTATATCAGTACGGTAATTTGCTTTGCTGAGATGATTGACGAGATAATAGTTAGTTTTTTTGCACAGATTATAATAAGGAAAAAACAATTACAACTGTCACAGTTATTACAGACTGTATTGCACATTAAATTCAGGAGTACCAATATAACAGCTGAATTGTATGACACAGCACATCCGCTAAGCCATATGTGTAATGAACTGGCAACATTATAAAACTATTTTTTTTTTTTTTCAATTTTAGTGGTCTCTAAACGATACGATAACTATATACATACATAAATTTTTACAACATATCCCTATCACCATAATCGACCTTATTCAACAAATTTAATAACAAATGAGCTTATGATAATTGAATTAATAACTTAATATCTATTGTATATAAGCAAATGGAGTAAATAAAAAAGGTATATCAATATTGTAGATGGACTAAAAATTTTTAACATTTAAAATATATGTAAAAACAATTTTAGAATTTTATTTTTAAAAGGAAGCAGTATTGCAATGCATAATTTCTAGCAACTTCACTCTTGCCATTTTTTAAAGAAATTCTTAAAACTAAGCAAATAATAAGGTGTTATATAAGTCAATAACATCATTTTAACGTATAATTATTCCCACTACACAATCTTTAAAATACAACATATTAATTTCAGTTTACTAAAACGTTTGTATTATACTCTTATATTAAATTTAAAAGTTTAATTATGAAATTGCATATTTTAGCGACAATTGTATAAAATCACATTAAAATAATAAAATTGCATTATACTTTTTTACAAGATATTTAATATTCCCAGATAGTTTTAAAAACAAAATTTATAAAAATGTAAGGTTTAATGCGGGAACAATAGACTAATAAAATCGCCACACTGACCTCGTGGTACTTTGCTTTTATGTTGGCAACATCTACCCCTTCCTTCCTTCTTTTGCGCCGCTCCTCTAGCCAGAACAGCGAGAGAACGTGATCGATCGAATTTCAAAAAAGGCACACACCTACCCCTGTGCTCCTGAGATCACGAAATCACTCTATATCTCCTGATTATATAAATCGGGAGTTTGTGTTTCGTGACTTTGCCATTCCGTGTGTGAACCGTAAAACCCCAACTCCCGCGAGGCGACTTCTTCACAAAGAGCCAATATCTAACTATACAAAATGTCGAACCTCGCCGATCCGGTTGCGTTCGCCAAGGACTTCCTCGCCGGTGGCATCTCTGCTGCCGTCTCCAAGACCGCGGTGGCACCCATCGAGCGTGTAAAACTGCTCCTGCAGGTACAGCACGTGAGCAAGCAGATCGCGGAGGACCAGCGCTACAAAGGTATCATCGACGCCTTCGTCCGCATTCCGAAGGAGCAGGGTCTGCTCTCATTCTGGCGTGGTAACTTCGCCAACGTCATCAGGTACTTCCCCACACAAGCCCTCAACTTCGCCTTCAAGGACAAGTACAAGCAGGTGTTCCTCGGAGGCGTCGACAAGAAAACCCAATTCTGGCGCTACTTCGCCGGTAACTTGGCCTCCGGTGGTGCCGCCGGTGCCACATCGCTGTGCTTCGTGTACCCATTGGACTTCGCCCGTACACGTCTGGCCGCTGACGTCGGCAAAGGTGACGGACAGCGCGAGTTCACCGGTCTCGGCAACTGCATCACGAAAATCTTCAAGTCCGACGGTCTGACCGGTCTCTACAGGGGTTTCGGTGTGTCCGTGCAGGGCATCATTATCTACCGTGCCGCCTACTTCGGTTTCTATGACACCGCCCGCGGTATGCTGCCCGATCCCAAGAACACACCAATCGTGATCAGCTGGGCTATCGCGCAAACCGTCACCACGGTAGCTGGTATCATCTCGTATCCCTTCGACACAGTCCGTAGGCGCATGATGATGCAGTCTGGACGTGCCAAGGGCGATATCTTATACAAGAACACCATTCACTGCTGGGCAACCATTGCCAAGACTGAAGGTGGTTCAGCCTTCTTCAAGGGCGCTTTCTCCAACGTCCTCAGAGGAACCGGTGGCGCCTTTGTGCTTGTTTTATATGACGAGATCAAGAAGCTCCTCTAAACATAATGTAAGAATTGTTACCATTATTACAAATGTGATTCCGAATCACCAATAGCCTCTCCCTTGAAATCATGTATTATTAGAAGCGAAAAAGAACGACTTTAGTAACTTATTTTTAGTTAAATAAAAGTGTTATACACTGATTCCAATATATATTGTTTTATTAATAAAAGTTAAGTTACATAATCTCTTGAAATCTGTCAAATAAAATCATAATTGGAACACTGATAATCAATATGTTACCTATTTAAATGTCTAAACAAATTAAAATACTTTTTTCAGTTATATCTGACCAGTAAGTTATGTAACATCCTTACTTGTTTTAGGGACAAGGTTAACCGTTTCATTGTAATAATTCTCTATATCAACCTACCATGCATTATGATGATACTTTTAAATCAATGTTGTAAATTCTTTAAAATAGGCAACTATTTTAACCTTGTTATGTAATACCTACATTCAATATGCTGTAAATTGTCTAAAATCATGTGATTCTGAAGCTGTTATGTAACATGCTTACTTAGAATGTTTCTTGTGCTATGCAGTGTGAGTGGTATGAGTAGTAAAATGGTTAAAACCACTTAAAAAGTGTTTCAATGTAGTTGACATCCATTCTTTGGGCTTTTGGAACTAGGTAACATTCGGTATTGGTTGTAAAATGAAGCACCAAGTGGATGGCAAATTGAAATCATCTATTGTATGTCCTCGGTGTGAATTTTTTGTAATGAAAAATTCATACATTGCGAGTGAATAAAATATAGGAATATTAAGTGTTGTTTCTTTTATCTGACTGTTACCTACAGTACATGGACTGATGTTTTTTATAAAGTTATAGTAATTTTTCTATAAATTTTACATTTCCCAGTTCATAAGAACTGTTATAAATTATTAATATCAAGTAGGTGCCTACTGTCACTAAAAGTCAATATTTTCGTTTAACCTCAAAATTCACTCGTCCATTTTATTTTTATTATAAAAGAAATAATGTGCAGGAATGAAAAATTGATGGTCCTATTCTAATATTTGAGGTTACGAAATGTCGGTGCCGCATTGCGCGAATCGACAGTGATGACGTCACTAACAGGACAGCACTGAATGAGACGGGACGTCTATTTAATAAGTATTACGTCACTAAAGGTTTTGTCCTACGTCCTATACGTAACTAACTTACGTACAACCACATTATTTTAGGTGATGATAGAGATAATAATAGATAATTGCTATTAAAAATTATTATTTAACGTTTTGAGACATTTCACATATACATACGTAGAGTATATTCAATGATCTAAAAATAGAAATATGCTTGTTGTCGAGACTTATAATGAATGAGGCGCAGACATATGATGACATGATTCAATTAGAGAGACCAAAGTTTATTTCTTAATTTTATGTACAGATAGGTGTACATGAAATTAATTATCAACATTGCATAAAATAATATTATCAGTATCAATAAATGCATTTAGCATTAACTTCAGCTCAGTATTCTAAGAGTTATCAACTCATTTAAGTGAAAAGTATCTGATTTCTAATAATTATTGCTAAATACATTGCTTTCAAGGGTTGCTTGATCGAAATTCGCTGCTCAAAATAAAATACATATAAAAGGCTGCTTAAATAACTGTGATAGGGCCACGCAACAGTTTTGGCTGTTGCACCAATAGGCAGGTTCGTCCGGGTAAATACAAAGACCTTGCAGAAGACCGGCGTGAAGTGGAAGTATTATACTTCTGTCTTTTTTTATGTGAAAAGTTGACAGACGATCAGACGGTTCACCTGATGTTAAGTGAATACCGCCGTCCATAGACATCTGCTACACCCGAGGGTTAGCACATGCCTTGACAACATGTTTGGAAATTGGGCTCCGGCTACCTCACTCACCAGACGAAACGCAAAAGTATTTGTCATACTTCCACTTTACCCTGGTCTTCTGTGAGGTCGTGATACTTACCCTGTCTGCGTTTCTTCTGGTGATTGAGGTAGCTGGGGCCTACTTTATTATAAAGTGGCAACGCATCTGCATGGGTGTTGCAAATGCCCTTAGGTAACGGCTATCACTTAACAACGGGTGAACCGTCAGCTCGCTTGCTACCTTCTCACATATTTCTTTTTATTACATTAGCAAAATTTTATCACTGGCAGGTAGCTAATGGTGACATAACTTCTGCTATTTTGCGAATGAGCCTGCTCGGAAAATTACCAATTCTTGTCCACATTCGCTTTTTAGAGAATGAGGTAAACGGACGCCCTTTTTCTCTAAAGATCTGCAATACTGCGACGGCCATTGCCGAGATTGCACGCTTCAGATCATCGCATCACAATAAATAATTGTAATACAGCCGAAACTAAATATTTTATAAATTATAAATAGAAATTACTTTGTCAAAAGATCTCTTTTAAATTCAAATCGGTAGTAGTTATTCAGTCTTGCTTCAATGACCGACCCATCATTACAGCTGCTGCTGTTTATTACGTTGTTCGATCCAGAACGATCCAGTACGATTAGTTTCCTTGCTGCGGACATTAACCCAACGCTACAGTCGAAACAGCAACGAGATGGCGGTTTGCAAAGTTACCGTATGCCCAAAAATACCGTTTTTTATAGATTATAAATATGATTTTGGACACGTGATCAAACACAGACAATCATATTGAATAATGTTTTTGTCGTTTTATAGCAGGCTCTTGTTTGCATGATGAATTTTTATGATGATCTTTATCATCTTATGCCTGTTTACAACTTAAGCTTAATAGGGGGAATAGTAGACACTGAATTTTCGACCGTCTGGGTAATAACTTAGTATGTGGGTAAAAATTCCGAACAGTACGTCTCGTTTTTCAAGCTAGAAAAAAATTTTAATCGATAGAGAAATGTTAATAATTAAATATTACATACATGAAAACCGAGGCAAACACTTACTTTTAATAAAAAAAATATTTAAAACTTGTTATTTTCACTAAATAAATCCGCCATTTTGTGTTTGACAACATGTATAAATTTACGAATTCACATACTTTTCCAAATTATAACCTTCGCATTATTAAAAAGAGTCTTTAAAAATACTAAAAGTACTGTTACACTAAAGTTTTCTGGGTGGTCATAAAAAAAGAACCTAACAACGAAGGCTAACCTTAACCTTCTAACCTATCCGAGTCGGATCGCTCTGTGTCGGATCTGTGACTCATTTTGAACCTAATATTCGAGACATTAAGTGTACACTAAGTCACAAATTTTAAATTTTAGAAATTGTTAATAATACATGTTCACGAAGTAGAAACTTGTGTTTTTGTGATATATCTGTGTATTTGTGTCTTCTTACAACGTAAAAAGTGAATACGTAAGTTTTTAACTTAAAATAATAGTCTATAATGAATAATGGACGCACAGTAATGACGGATTTCAGTTGTATGAAATTTAAAAACTTTGTTAATTATTTCCTCATAATCTAGTGGTTTTCATTGATTATAACTTATATAATATTTAGTTAACATTTCTCTATAGATTAAAATTTTTTTCTAGCTTGAAAAACGAGACGTACTATTCGGAATATTAGCCATATATATTAATACGCAGTAACCACGTAATAGGAAAATCAAAAAGGAAAGCAAATAGACGATACATCACATAGTAAGTGTGTGCTAACAATAACGGTTTCGTCGAGACTTTACTGAATAGAATAAGTCCTTGAAATCGGCACTGCGTACTTGACTTATCTCAACTGGTTGAATGCGAACGTGGCTGGATTTCGGAAGTCTCGGCGACGCGGCTCAGCTGTGTCTATCTAATCCGGTTACGATAATATTTAAGCGGTCCAAATACAATTCATCAAATTCTATACACTTATATGATAACACAATCTCACAATTCATTTTTGGTCTAACTCAAACATTCCAACAATTTGCTCACATAACAGGATCAAATCACGATTTTGACAAATAATATCAATTTTGTAGTTTTATACTTTATTACATATTTAATGGCTGCTACACATATGATGTTGCTTGCCATTTACAGGATGACTTTTCTAAAGGTGCCCAAATTCCCTGTGAGGCTCAGACTCGGTAATATAATATCGTTTATTGAAATACAAACAAACTTTTTGCAATTCTATTTCCTAAAAAAAAAGAACTTGTTGACGATGCTGTAGTAATTTATAAATGCGTCGTATACTTTTGAAACGAACTTGTATGCGTGTTAGTTATGAATAATCACGCGTAAAATAAATGCCCATAAATCACGCACTTTTTGAGATAAGTTGAAGTGAATGTAATTAATTAATTAAGAGTGATTTTCAACATTTATCATTTTTATATAACATTATTTATGTCTAGAATTTAATAAAAAAAAGGATTTACTTAGAAAAGCCTCCCTGCATAATTTGACTGGACGGTTTCGATGGCCACCATGCCAACTGCTATTGGAATTAGGTGGGACAATACAATATTTTTCGTTCCGTATATTTTGTGTCCGTGTTTATATCGTTCGTGAAAACTTGTACAAATAAGTTTTTTTCTTACATAGTTAAACGTTCGTTATTGTCAATTTCCTTATCGAATGATTTTTTTCGTTTTCATTCGTAGACTATCATGCATTAGTATCTCAAGAGATAGAAAGCTCGAAGTGCACTGTAGTTGGCCGATATAATACTGCGGATATTTTAAATTTAAATATAATCTAGCTGATAATTTAAATATTAACTCATGACATTACGAATATAGGAATTGATATATATATATATATATATATATATATAACGTAGGAAGGCTGGCTTCTGCTAATTTATTATAAATCGGTGATTTGTTTTAAAACAGACGTTTTACACTAAGTGATTAGGATAACGTGCCTCGTCACGATTACGAAGATTCTTAGAGGCCAGCGTCAAAAGAACAAAATGAACGCGACAACAAAAAGGTTCCTTATTATTTTTGCTTAAAATTTTAAAAACAGCTTGTCTTTGTAATGCAGGTAAGTAGCAGCTATTAGAAAAGGCGCT